TATAGATCTACAGAGCTTAATGATTTTTAGACACAGAAAATGTTTATCTGACAATAACCACAAAGTAACCGAGACATAGGAAGGCTAACAGAGCCAATCCCTGTTAAAATGACAAAGACAAAATCTGTCCACCTACCCACCTCCTAGCCCTTATGCCCAACCCCTCACCTTCCGCCTCTACTCCCTGCCTTATTCTCCAGTGACTTTTTCTCAAGTCTAGTGCTCTCTCCTGCCTTTTCTAGGCTGGGCATATATTTTTCCCCAGTCTTTTATAAAATGTGTTGGTTTTGAGTTTTGAGTTTTTCTTACTTTATGTTGAAATATGGCATCCCTGTGACCCCTGTTAGTCTCCGCTCTCCCCTCCTTCAAAGGTAATGACTCTCTTGACTTTCAACACCATAGATTAGCATTGCCTGGTTTTGTCTGTGCTTTTCTGTGTCTGGCTTCTTTCATTCGGCATTAGATTTGTGGTAGTAGATCATTCATCCTAACTGATGTATAGAAGTCCATTGTGTGACTATAGCACAATATATTTACCTGTTCTACCCTGGATGTACAATTGGATGGTTTCTAGTTTGGAGCTATTATGAATGGAGCTACTATGAACATTCTAGTTTATGTCTTTTGGGGAACTCAATTTATAAATTTCTTTAGGTCAGTATCTAGGACTGGAATGACTGGGTCATAGGGCATGTGGAGATTTAGCTTTAATCATTTTCCAAAGTGGTGGTACCATCCTCCAGACTTTTAATAAGGATTTACATTCATTCATAAAAGCCTTAACAGTCTGCACAGGATTTTCAAAAGAAGCAGACCTTGAATCTGGCTCTTCTGATTCCAAGACTAGCACTTATTCATTCCATCCAGTAAATTCCAGATCCTTCCATCCTATTTTCCTCTCCTCAGTACTATGCTACCTTTTTCCTTTAACTCCTCCTCACAAATGAATAGCTAGTCATTCATGGATCATTCTCCCCAGGGTTTTTATCTTCTGTTTTGTTCTGTTTTTGTTTTCATTTTCGCCTCAAAGAGGATCAGTGGTGACTCCAAATAACTCTAATGGTGAGACTTTCAGATTCCATAAAAAAAAAAAAAAAAATCAATCTATAGGAAGGAGCTGGAAAGAAGAGAGAGAAAAATAATTTCAGTCACAGGAAAGTGCTCAACAGAATCACTCAAATCCCAGTTGAAGGGTGATCTGAATAGAGCTGTCCCTGATGAAACACAATGGAAAACAGAAAACTCATCTTTCATCATGTGACCTTCAGGGCAGACATGCTGGAAAGCTATTCCCTGGCTTCTCCAAACTGATACAGGGGACCCAGAGGGAAGCCTCAGAAGTCACATTACACCACCATCTCCACATCTCCACCCAGGAGGCCACGAGCAGGAATCTGCTGCTGGTTTCTTGACGATGGTCTGTATGGGAGCCCCATGCGTGAAGAAATTGAGCAGGAAAGATTAAGAAAGATGACAATGAAAATCAAACCCCAGCCTCCCGACTACCCCTTAGGTGTGCATCTGTTCCCCAATTCTGTGTTATAATTAAAGAGAATGGTTTTTATATATTTAGATACTTTCAATGCCTGGATTTCAATGTAGTTGAAGTAAAGGGTACTAATTAATTGTGAATCACTCCAATACTTGAATATAAAAACCTCTCGAGCCTGATGTGCAAATTTATGTAAAAACAATGTGAAAATTAGAAATGCATTGGCACATTTTTTTAACCAGAACTGTAGCACTCTGTCTAGTCAAACAGACTGCTCATTTGCAAGTTGTCTATATGCAAAGCATTTTGCCCCTGGGAGCCTAAAATCTCCTTAGCAAGTCATCTGAAATTTGAGAAGAGCTTTGTTCTGAACCTGATTTCTGCTCTCTTTACTTTTTCTTCTCTGCTTCCAGCATCGTGGGCAAAAAGCCTAGGTATGGATTATACCTGGCCAACCCAGCAACAGGCATGGCCCAAAACACAAGACTCGCCCTGGGACACCCATTTGAGTTCAAAGGAGGATGTCTAAATAAGCTTGTCTTGAGCCGTGTGCATTGGCCTTGTATTGCAGCCTTTCACATTTAAGAGAAAATTCAAAATCCAAATGCTTCCAATCTGCAGGACTCAAATTTCCCTTTGCAGATCAGACCTGGTGAAGTGAAGAGGCTATTTGCTGTTAGGTTGTAGGCTAGTAGCTTTCTGACTTCCACTTTTTTTGCGGGGGGGGGGAATTTTAAAAATTTATATTTTTTAGTGTATTCTACACATACAGTAGTTTGCTCCATATACTGTATAATTTAAGAAGTGGCAAAACAAGTAAATCTAATGTTTCCTTAATGCTAATTAAGACTAATGTTGTAAGAATGTCAATGTGATTAACATTTTTTAGAGTATCATTTCATTCCCTGGTAACTAACTGCTACATCAGTTCAAAATCCATCATTCAAAGCCATCTGTAACCCAGCCCACCCAGCCCTATTCACACATCTTTCTCATGACTGCCCAAGAAATGCTAATGCTGTTCTGAAGGCACAAGAAATAATAATCAATATTCCAACTTCCTTGCTTTTTAGAACAAACTATATCACCACCCCTTACAAATCTATGAACACTTAAACATTAACTCCTAAATGCATTTGTATTATCAATGCATCATAGACTACATACTGTATTCTATTTTATATTTGTTGGTATGTGCAAATACCATAGAATTTTTAAAGTTAGGAATCATTATTTATAGTTTAGCTGTGATCCCAAGCTAATTGGCAAGCAAAGTCACAAGTTGCTTATCAATCGGGATCCATTCTGAGAAATGTATCTTTAGGCACTTTCATCACTGTGCAATCAGAGTCTATTTAAACCTAGATGGTATAGCCTATGATACACTTAGGCCATATGGCGCACCCTATTTCTCCAAGGCTACAAACCTGTAAGGCATATTACTGTACTGAATGCTGTAGGCTGACTTTCACCTTTTATTTGAAGTTAAGAGAAAGCAGAGAAGAGAGAAAGTAAACTGATCAACATTTCACATAGCATCGGCCTCATCCAGCCCTGGGGGTGAAGAGCCAGCACGGGCAGGTGCTCGGGTGTAGCAGCAGGGGGCGCATTTGGCTCATCTGCCCTGGGGCAGGCTGGCTCCTGACAGAAGTGGGCCAGAGGTCAGTCCCAGAGGCTTGGAGATGGCACGCCCAGGAGTGGGAGGAGAGGCTCTTTGGGAATTACTTTATCATTTAACTCTTCTGGTGGGGGAGGAGGAGATGGGAGAGACAGAAGGAATTGGCTGGCAGCCAGGCCAGAGCTGATGACAGCCTGCCGGTGCTCGGAAAAGCAGACGATGGAACGAGACCCCTGAAGAGGTTCTCTCCTGGACAGAAGCCCCATCAACTGTCACTGTCACCTGGCAAGGAAATGGCTCAGGTTTTTCCCAGTAGCTCAATCCCAGATAAAAGGGACATCATCCCTCGGCCCCCAAAGCTCAGACATTTGACTCTATTTATTCCTGTGCCCGGAGGCCCACTCCACTGGCTGCAGCTCACACGGACTCAAGTTATGAAAAAGCTTAATTTTCTCATATCGAGGGTCTGTGCAAACGCTGCTTTCCATTGCGACTAGTAAGTTCAGTTTTCACCAACTTGGGTACAGTTGTTGTCACCCTGATATACTGAGGCCTTGATACTCAGAGTGTGGTCCCAGATCAGTGTCAGCACCACTGACTGTGAGCTCTCTAGAAAGAAAAGCCTACCCCAGACTTCCAGAATCAGAATCTGCATTTTAACAAACCTTCCCACTGTGCCAAAATGATTATTTTCTGACCATAGTTAGGAAGCCAAATTCTAGTATTTCCAGAAACCAGATAGGTAACCCTGAATAAAGCACTTGATTTCTTCAACGCTTAAGTCCTCATCTGTAAAATGGGCATACTAATCCTGCTTAATTTAAGATGCTTAAATTGAATGATAAATTATTACTTTGTCCTACAAATTGTGAATCATGATAGAAATGTTCAATTTTAGTCCTATGCTGTGGACTCAATAATTGGGTTATAAACTGAAAACAGAACAATCTCTCTTTTACCTCTTTTTTTAAGTCTTCCCTATACACTTAAATACAGTGTTCTACCCATAATGATGTTGACTATTTGACATTTACAAAAATCTCCCTTGGAATTCCCTGCCATTAAAAAAAAAAAATTCTAATTTCAATTCTCTCGAATTACAAAGAGATCCTGTCACTTTGACCTAATCCTCTGAGGTTCATCCCTCTAAATAATTGTATTGTCTCTATAAAGCACTTTGTTACTATGGCAACGCATACATAATTGAGGGTGGCTATAAAAGTCAGATTCCTTTCCAGCAGAAAACACAGAAAACATTCTATCCACCCAAATGTTCCTCTCCCATAGGTTTTCACCAAGTCCTTCATAGTTTCTCAAACTTATATATACTTTATGAACACTATAGAGCAATATGAGGAAACAGATTGATACAGTGGGAAAACTCTTGGGGGAGGAAATTGGAGATCTGGGTCCCGGTTCAGACTCTCACACATAATTTGCAATACAACTTGGCCCAGGGCACTCAACTTTTCAGAGCCCCAGTCCCTTGTCCCTAAAGGTAGGTGAGGGAACAATATGTTCTCCTATGGCTCAATCCCAATAATGTTCTGTAATATTCAGAGTTGATTTTAACTATCACTTAACCGAAATTATTCAATAAACCTTCATGGCATTAAACATTAACACAGCTCTTTTTATGTGGCATGGTTCATTACAACGCCAATAAATGATTAATTATAACTCTCTGTCTGGACCAATAATTTTGCTGGACTTTTATGATTCATAATTTGAACTGTGTTGTAATGTTACCCCTCGAAACTGACATACTAGCATTTATTGTTTTTTATTGCTTCTCTAAGGTGGCGTTTGAAAGAGGCACCAAGTGACACACGTGTAGGAAGGGTTTAAAAGTGTGGACATGGTTAAAGTAAGCATTACCAGTCTTGACTGGCAGCAGAGCCAGGACCCAGGGACCAGATCTCCTGTCCTGTGGACTCAGCCTTTTTTGAGCAGCTGACCCAGCAATGAGTAATTCTACGGGCTGTTTGGCCAATGCCACAATTTGCAATGGTTCATCTTGTGTGGTAGCTGACAGCAATTTCAATACCCTTCTAAGTGTGGTCCTGAGTACTGTGCTGACCATACTGTTGGCCTTGGTGATGTTCTCCATGGGATGCAATGTGGAAATCAAGAAATTCCTAGGACACATCAGGCGGCCGTGGGGCATCTGTGTGGGCTTCCTCTGTCAGTTTGGAATCATGCCCCTCACGGGATTCATCCTGTCAGTGGCCTTTGACATCCTCCCCATCCAGGCTGTGGTGGTTCTCATCATGGGCTGCTGCCCTGGAGGAACTAGCTCCAATATCCTGGCCTACTGGGTTGATGGTGACATGGACCTGAGGTAAGAGATCTACCCCTCTAACTACTGCAATCGTTCCAAATTCATCTTTTCAGAATCCTGTGGCACTCGAAATGTCCATCTGATCTTCCATTTATCCAAAGTATGACCAAGGAATTAAATAGGAATAAATGCATTTACGTGCCTCCCAGCACAGCTGCATAGCTATCGGAATCTTGGGATTACATTTTGTGTTTGTGTTTTTAAATCTAACTCGGTTAACAGGGAGCTGCATAATTGCTATTTATCTCCGGGAAAAGATTCAAAGCTTTTCAAAAAAGAAATCTTATCCAAGCCACAAGCTGCAGCTGAGGAGGTTTATCCTGTTGGTATGAGGAAAAAAGAAAAACCAGAAACAAAAACCACTTTCTTTGTAATAATGAGGAGCTCTGGTTGCAATCGTGAAATCAAACTGTCCATCAAACATTACAACCTATGGTGAGACAATGGTCAGCTCCACCAAATACAGCCAGTTCTTTGGGCAAACTTCTTCTTGGTGTAAAACTTAAGGAAGAATTCATAAATTTGCTTTACCTCTACTGCAATTAAAAGAAAGAAAAAAAAAGCCTACGGCAGCTTTTTTAAAAATTATGCTTACCTTACTATAAAATAAACAGAAAATGGTTTTTCCACTTCCCACAGAGTAATCTAAATTGCAATGTTTTCCCAATTCATCTTGTGCCAGTCTGAACTAGCACTGGGGGGAAAAAAACTAATAGAAATAAGAGGAAGCATTAATGGGACTAGACCAAGAATTTTAATGCTGAAAGTTAAATAGACAATATCTTCTTCCTTACCTCACAATTCCTCATTTCCTGTGAAAGGTATGCATTTCTGCAAACCATCCAGGTGTTTATGCAATGTGTGTTTATTAAATACTGTACAGTAGGCAATCAGCTCTGTTACTCCCTGGCTACTATGTGCAGAGGAGAGAAGCCCCAAGTATAGAAATGTAACCACTGGGTTGATCAAGTGCCTAGTGAGCAATTAGGAACCTGCTGTCTTATCTCAACTGGTGCTGATTTCTCCAGAAGCTTTACAAAAGTCATATGAACCATGTACTTTCACATTACTTAGTTTTCACATAAGAAAATACGGTATCCACCTTGCAACAGACTTATTTTAAGATAAGCCCTATAAAAGAATAAACAATGGCCAGTGCTAATCAGGCTTAGTTAATCTGTGAACCACAATATAACAATAAGGTATTCTCAGACTTCAATTTAGTTTGATCTGGACACAGGTATACAGAAGGAAGAATTCTAAATATTAGCACCTATTAAACTGAGGGGAATGAACTAAAATATTGGGTTTTGACCTCCACTAGACAGCTTTTACATAACATCTGTAATTTTTTAACAATGCAGAAGAGTCTTGCACCGCAACATAATGCCACGCATGAAACCCTTTTTATAAGACAGAGAAATTACATGTGATGCCGGGTTGGTTAGCTGTTGAAATGGATTCTCTTCCATGGGCTAAAATGGCAAGACCTAATCTAAAAGCTCCAAGTCACATTTGGCTATGGTTTTAAGGAACTCTTATTTCTCTTGAAACAAGACATGATTATGTAATCCTGTCTACCTAATATAACAATTCATATAAATTATTTTTAAAAATAAGGGAACTAAGCCTTAGGAGAGTTAAATAAGTCTTCAAAGTTGTATTACTACTAAATGGGTTTGGAACCCATTAATGTATGCACATTGCTTTGGGATGTGCATACATTAATCCATTGTAGTTTCTCTCTTACACATCTTCTGCTACAGTGGGAAGTCCTGAGGGGAAAAAGAGATGTATATGCCTCTAAAAGG